CGGGAGTGCAAGGAAGCCCCGCGAAGGCCCTCCCTGGCCCCAGGCAGGCAGGGGTGGGGAGAGGCAGGGAGGAAGCAACTTACCCTCCCTCTTCTCCTGCCTCCTCCTGGCTGAATGAGGGCCGGAAGCGGGGCGGACGGAAGCAGGGGGCGGGGCTTCGTCATGTGCTCCGCCCCCGTACCTCACCCGGGGGAACCGCAATCCCCCCGCAATCCCCCCCCCGAAATGACCTCTGTTTGTCTGTATTAAATCTGTTCTTTAACTCTGTTTTTTTAATGGTCTTAATTATGTTCTTTTGGGAGGGAGGCTGATCATAATGGCTTTAAAGTGTGGTTTTAAGCGTGTATGTTTTAAATTGTTTGCTGCCTCGGTGGCCCTTGTCAGGGCAGAAACATGGGGTACCAATTTTGTAAATAAATAATAAAATAGATGTGCACTCTCTGTGGAATTAGTGGCTTCTCCTTGGATCCGGTTTCCAGAGAGGCACATGAGACAGACATAACTGAGAATTTTCCTCAGTGCTGCAGCTTAGCTACGCATCTCAGCCCTTCACTGTTCTTCCAATTTTGTGTGGCTTTTTGAATGCAGCTTGAGGCACGCGCCAAAATAGTAAGCCTATCCCATATGGTCCTCCTCTGCAGTCAATTGCCGTTTTCTCCACAGCCCTGGTTTTTGGGAAGCTCTGAGTTTCCATGATTCTCAAACGCTCATCTGCGGGTCCTTCTCCCTCCCTGTCTAGGAGGTGCTGGCTCACTACTCCCACCGTGCCCTGGATGATGACATCAGGAACCAGATGGCAATGGACTGGGTCAGTCGGGAGCAAAATATCCCAGGGGCCCTTTCCCGGGAGCTGGCCTCAACAGAACGGGAATTGGATGAAGCCCGGCTGGCTGGGAAGGAGCTACGATTCCACAAAGAGAAGAAAGACATCCTGATGTTGGCAGCTGGCCAGCTAGGGAATATGCACTCTTCCAACTGTTAGGACCACAGGAGAGCCGTTCTGCTTCTCTTCCCTCCTCCTCCTCCTCCTCCTCTTCCTCCATAGAGCTACCCTGCTGAAGGGATCTGGCCTAGTTTTGACAAGTTTGAGGAGGCAAAATAAGCAGATTGGCTTCAAAAAAATCAGATCCCCCCCCCAAACAAAAACATTTGCAGTTATGCACATAGTGTTGAATTTGGAGGGGGCAGATATTCCTGTTGGGTTACAAAGTATTGAAGCTGGCAAATTAATTGCCTTTTTTCTAGTCCGTCAAGATGCAAGTATCCATCAGTTGGTTAACAAAAAGAACATTTCAAAATCTGGAATTTTTTGCCAAATTTTGTATGCATTCCCTCCTTAGTTTCGGCTCTGATATGAACCACGTTACGAGTGCACAGATGCCTTCTTTTCAAGAACTGTGGCTCGTTTGCACATATTTTAAACTTTTTTGTAGACGTTTCTGTATAGATTTTATACTTGGGTCTCCTCAGTTCATGTGTTCTCTCGGCTAGAGAATTTTTTATTAGTCTGAGCACCTTTTAAATGTAGCCCTTTCAGTGTTAAACACTTAGACCTCCATTCTTTCCAGGTATTGTACAGCTATCAGTATTAAATGTAAATGTAGCATTTCCAGGAGAATACAAGCTTGTGCCACAGATATGATAGGTAATGACACATTTCTTTTACATGCTAGGTATTTTTTCAGTGAACCTGGCTTGATATCGTCTCCCTTCCCTCACCTGAAAAGCACAGCACTTAAAACATTCTGTTGCAATAATCCTCCGGCTTCTGCTGGAGTTTTGTTTCAGTTGGGTTGCCTCAGTATTTGTGGCATCCTTTTTTGACAGGTATCTATAAAATTTCATACAGGATGAGGACTTGAGGATACAGAAGACTACAGTGGGTTTTAGATGTCGATACATAATGTTTTGGTGTTTCTCTTCTCATTTGTCCCCTCTGATCCATCCAGTTGCTTTTCTTGTGACTTAAGCTCAGCTGGAATCTCTGTGCCAAATTATAAGTCTTGAGGTGCTTAAAGGTGTTGTCCCGGCTTTGGAGAAGATTAAGTTCCTCTAGTAATTAAGTTTAAGTGCGGAGCTCCTGACCTCTGGCATTTAAGCCTCTGTCTGTTTGCTTCTTACTGTAGTAGGTAAGTGGGTAGTCAGCAGGTCTGCTTCTAAGGCACTCAGTAGCTGATAACTCCTCAAGCGGAGCGTGTGCCTCTCACACCAGCTCGTCTGTCTGCGCCTGGATTACTTTGATTGGGTTCCAGAAGATGCTGTATACTTGAAGCTGCCAACGGAAAACCTCCTCAGTGCATGCTGTCGTATAAGCTGCTTTTTATTACCGGAATGGTGCTTGTACTAGAGCCCTGGATTCAGTTGGTTCCTGAAAAGATTGTACCAAGACCCCAGCTCTGGCACCCTTTTGCTCACATGGTTTCCATTAGCCAGTGTGTACATAAACCTCCTGTGAACTGAGACGCTTGCAATCCTCCGTATGTCATCTGGCTACAATACATTGTGGGTAGGATAGCCTAATGTGTCTTGGGGAATGGCTGTGACAGTCTCGAGTTTGACTGCCATGTGGTAATTAGAGCTACTTGTTGGTGAAATGCAAAACATTCAAAAGACCGTCTGTAATTGTGCAGTTGGGCGGAGGGGCAGCTTCTTTGGAAATTTTCAGATGTTGCTCAAACAAAACATTCCTAGGGATAGAAATCTTTTATATGTGCACTTTTTAAAGAGAGAGACTGAAACTAGGAGCAGGACTCTTAAGTAGAAATACTGATGATGTATATATTTAGAATGTAGCTTCAGGTGGGTGGGTTGTTTTGCAGGTCATACGTACTGATCCCCTGACCTGGACGGCCCCGGCTGGCTTGATCTCATTAGATCTCTGAGGCTAAGCAGGGCCAGCCCTTGTTAGTTCTTGGATGGGAGAACAACAAAGAAGTCCAGGGTTGCTATGCAGAGGCAAGCAGTGGCAAAACCGTCTCTGAATGCCTCTCGCCATGAAAACCCTACGGGGCTGCCATAAGTCAGTTGCGCCTTGACGGCACTTTCCATCACCATGTACTGATTTAAAAAAACCAGGGGAGGCTGTCGTGCAAGCATGCTCTGTCATCTTGGTGCTTGGGGGGGGTCAACAGTGGGAGGGCTTCTAATGTCCTGGCCCCACTGGTGGACCTCCTGATGGCACTGGTATTTCTGGCCACTGTGTGCACAGAGTGTTGGACTGGATGGGCCTTTGGCCTGATCCAACATTGGCGTCTCTTATGTTCTTAAGCAACGGTGAAACACGACAGGGGAATTATGCCACTTAATCTTTTAAGTGTGCTGCACCATGAGTAGTATACTGGGCTTGCTTTGTCCGACGTTGTCCTGCGTGTAGAGTGAAGAATTCCAATCTGAACCTTTGCTGCTAGGGTTTAAGCTCATAAGATACTAACCATTCTAATAAGCTACAAAAGGTGTGTTTAAGAAATTGCTGGCCAGGGATCTCTCTGGGGGGCTGCGCAACGAACGGGAAACACTACGGTGGGAAGGATATTTGGGCTCTGAGTCCTTGTGTTGTGAATTCCTGGATAGTTTAAATTTCCTCTGTTCAGGGGCCGCATCTAGGATAATACCTTAATACCCTGCTTTTAGGTTGGTGCCACGTGGCAGGCTTCCCTCTTTACCCCAGTATGAGGTTCCAGTGAAATGGGAATTCAGATTTGCATCATAAATAAAAAGATTAGCGATGGTTGTGGTTCGGAGTTTAATGTGGCCTAGGGCGTATTTACAGATGAACCCTATTGGAAAGCACAACTGTAGGGCTGAATGTATTTCCAGGGAGAAGGTAAAGAGTTTGTCTTGCCCTTTGAGTGTTTCCAGCCTCGAGTGGCCAGGGTCTAGCTTTCCTTCTCTCCTGTTGCACATAAACCATCCCAGTGAGGCAGGCTAGGGATTAATCACGTTGGTAATGCAAACCAAAAACACTCTTACAATTTACAGGGTAGAATGAGAAGTCTTTGGGGGGCTATTTAGCTTCTTTTTATCCCACGCTTCCTCCAGTTAGCTCAGGGTGGTGTACGTGGATTTCTCGTCACCATTTTTATCCTTGCAAGGTAGGGTAGGCTGTCTAGCCCAGCATCAGCTGCATGGCGGTGTGGAGATTTGAACCTGGGACTCCTCAGACACTAGCCACTGGCCCACTCTGGCTGTTGAGTACATTCTTGACTCTGCACTTTTGATCTTGACCTTGCAGGCAGGCAGATTTCAGGAGGGAAGAAGTGAAGGATGGTTATCTTGCTGCTTTTATTATCTACCCCTCCCCCCCCCCGCCAGCTTTGCAGGACTTAAATCTCGGCTTATACTTTGTTCCATAATGCTGGATTCCTATGAATCAAAAAAGGCTGAGTTCCTTTAACCCCCATCTCATCTGTTGCCATTGGGAAATTCTCGTGTAACCTGTTTACAGCAATAATTCTTTTTGATGTCTCGGAAGATATTCTGGGTGTTTATCACAGGGGTTGATGGAGGGAGGTCCTCTTGACCACGCTCCCTTTCTCAAAAACAGATTGCTGTAGAAGAGTGGATGTTATGTCTATTCAAGATGAAGGGCTCAAGGGTCAGCATAATTCGTTGGCCTTATACAAGGACTGTATCTTATCTAGAGTATACTGTTAGGGTAATACTGCTTTGGTCTGCTTCTGATCTCGTTCTGATCTTGTTGCCATACTTCACCTTCTAAAAAGGTGGCAACCCTGACAGGTGGGCAGAGGGCGGGCAGAAAATAATGGTTAAGCACTTCTTGGGTATTTGTACGGCTCATGCACAAGAGTGGGATGCTGTTCCGTGCAGAAACAGCACTTTGGTAACTTGGCCTTAAATTAGAGCAGCCACTGGAGGCCCTGGAGCCAAACTGGGCTGGCTGAGGACCTGCAGGTCTTTCAGTTGACCCAACTTGCAGGCGTGCAAGAGACCAATGACTCTGTGTGAGGCTTGCGTCAGTGAGGCTTCAGTCCTAGCCGTTTTGCAGTATTGGATGCCATAAGTAGCTGACCGTGGCTTTATATTCTTGGAGCTTAATCCATAACAGTTGGTATGTTGCGTGTATGTCTAGGATTTGGTGTCAGAGGCTTGGTAAATAAGCTGCGATCATCAAGCATCCTAGATAGTTCTGCCAATATACAGGCAACTCAGAGTCCTGGAGTATATGGATTGGAGTCAGCCTTCAGAAGTTTGACCTCAAAGACCCCTGGACCACGCTCCCTTTCTCAAAAACAGATTGCTGTAGAAGTGTGGATGTTATGTCTATTCAAGATGAAGAGCTCAAGAATCAGCATAATTCTTTGGCCTTAGCGCCTTGTTGTTTCTATACCTGAGCTCATCCATCTCACCCTTTTTATATATCTAATATACATATATATTTTTATATACAGCTTTGTGTACACAATACTACTCGTGTTTAAATGCATTTATATACTCGGATTATAACCCTTTGAAGGTTCTCACGGTGTTTTTTTCCTCTCTCAGTCCACTGCTTATTACGGACAGAATGCAGGTTTTAAGTTCTGTCTAGCATTCCTGAATTTCCCTCAAAGACATGCCTGTAAATGTTACCTCTGGGTAAAATCCAGCTGTAACCAATTCATCATCTTCAGTGTTTCTTCCAATTTAAAGGTTATCTTAAAAGTACTGTTTCACACATTGTGTTTTTCCTGATTGTATTCTGTAAAGTCAGTACTTATTTTGTAATGTATAATTTTATACAATAAAGTAGTATTTGGATGGATATTTCTTACACAGAACTCCATTTTCTTGAAAAACATTGTCCTATTGCTTTTCAACATGGTTGCGTTGTTCAGTCGCACAGTCGAGTCCGACTCTCCATGACCCCATGGACCACATCATGCCAGGCCCTCCTGTCTTCCGCCGTCCTCTGGAGTTTACTTAATTTTGCTTTTCAACATACCAGTCTTTTTAATGGAGTCTAATCTGCTGTGTCCTTGGTCCATTCTTTAAGATAGAATTTAGCCATTTGGCTGTAGCAGCTTAAAAGCTCCAGATAAAATTGGTTTATGGTCTTTAATTACAATGTTCTTCTAATTTTGTGTATTTCACATGGATAGTTGCATCAGTCTGAACTAGCAGAACAAAATTTGAGTCCAGTAGCATCCCAACAGAATTTTCTTGGTTATAAACTTGCACAAGTCAAAAAGCACTTCATCAGTTACTTGTTCAACATATCTGCCCAGTAAAGTTTGTGAATGGCTGTGGCTCAGTGACAGAGCATCTGCTTGGCATGCAGAAGGTCCCAGGTTCTATCCCCCGCATCTCCAGTTAAAAGGATCAGGGAGGAGGTGATGTGAAAGACCTCTGCTTGAGACCCTGGAGAGGCGCTGCCAGTCTGAGTGGACAATACTGACCTTGATGGACCGAGGGTCTGGTTCTGTATAAGGCAGCTTCACGTGTTCAAGTTTTGTTGATTGTTTAAGGTGGTACCACTCCAGTGTCAGTGCTGTACCAACTGAGATGGCAACAGTGATGGGTGTGTTTTCACTTTGCCTAGAATCAGGGCATTTCCCCCGCTTGCAGCTGCGGAGCCATGTGACGGTTTATCCATAAGGTCTATAAAATAGATTGCACATACTTGCCACGAGGACCCCTCCACTTTCTGGTTTTATTGTTGGCTGCTTGTAAGTAGTGGAGTCTGGATTGAATCTGACCGTTAACAAACATCAGTGGCTAGAAGCTGGTCTGTACATCTTGCAGTTCCTTGAGACATAGGACTGGCACTCTAGTATATCCACTGTTATCTTCCTTAGGACAGGATAGCTAGCATCAGAACAGCTGGACATTACCCTCAAGCAAAGAAGAAACAGTGGTAGAGAGAAATGCGAGCATATGAGAACAGCAGGTTGTAAAGCAAACAACCCCCAGGCTTGTCAGTGCAGAAACTTGCAAACCAGAAGTGTCATGTTATCGCATGCAGGCACTCAGTCATACGCCCCATTGACATTTGTAGACATGCATAGATTTTAATACCCTATCAACCATTCCCCCTCCCTCTTGGCTCTTTTCTCCTGCTGCTGAGGCAAACCCTAGGATTAAACAGATGTGAGATTGGCTGGTCTAGGTAGCATTCATCATAATTGGCTAAATGCTGGAGCAGATGGTTTTCCCCCCTCCTGAGCTGAAGCAGCTGATGTGTAAGGATTTCCCCCCCATATGGCCCTGTGGAGACCTGCTTCCTTGTACTTTATAGTCCTGCAGCACCACCACCCCAACATTTTTGTACAAATACATCACCAGAAAGATGGTTCTCCTAAATGTTTTATAGTCCACAGGAGTAAGCCCTTCCCTATTTGGATTTTTTTGTGAGATCCCTCAATGTATTTATACAGAGAGTGCAGGACAGAAATATTTTAAAGAGGACTGCCTGATGAATATGCCTCAGCCTGCAGTCTCTTGTCTCCAAAAACAAGATTGGAAACCAAACAGTACAAGATTGTATTACTATATACTGACTTTTCAAATATCTCTTGTATAACCCGATCCTGTTAGATTGGAGTTCCACAGTATTTCATTGTGGCTGCTTTTCAGGTAAGTGTACACTGTGTTGAGTATTTGGGGAATCCATATCATATAGATAAAACAGAAATGAAAATTGTATTGTGGAAATTGGTGGGGTATCTCATTCAAAGATGGTGGTGATTCTTGCGAAGAGGCTTGGATCAGTCCTCTAAACCACAGTCTCTCTCCCCCCCTCCCCCCGCTTCTGACACTGTGGGCCTGAGTTAAGGATATGCTTTTTGCTACGCTCTTGATGCTTAAACATTGTGTATGTAGTTGTGGTTCGAACAGACAATTCAAATCAGCCTCCCTTAGA